ACTATGATTTCATATGTGAGAATCATCATTTTTTGATTGTGGTTTATAGACTTAGAATCAGATGATAAGATATCAGACATAAACATCATTAGCAGCATAGGAGATTCCTTTTCTGCAACAGGAGCAAGTCTTGTTTCTTAAATACCAAGGCTAACCAGCTAACCACCAAGCATCATTTAAACAAAGAGGAAGTAATACAGACTCATAAGCTCTGTACACATATGCTGAAACTATCTATATAGCACCTGTTGTTCCCTTTCATGGTCTCCTTTTCTTATGCCACTCTACTTATGTATGGCCAGGACATTGTGAATGATTTGTATTCCATCATCATATGAACTGAAATTGTACGTTATGCAATGTTCAAAGCCATCTCCGCACATCTTCGAATGAGCATCCACATTGGTATTTCGTCATGCTCATGTGGTACAAGCATTACTGCTTCTGATCAACAAGTCTACCACAAAAGTCCGGCATAACGCTTATAAGAGACCTACACGTCTCACCACTTTTTCAAAAATTCTTGAGTTCATCATCAGAATCATTTTGGAATACATTGAATTATACAAATTAAAAGTCACAAAACAGTCGAAGAAATGATATGTTGAAACTATGAACTCTCTCGGTCTTGCTTTTTCTTTCTCTTTTCTTCATCTTTCTTTGAACCCAACCAACTATGATGTTATTTTACAATCGCTTCATGATATCCTTCAAGAAACCAAGTTTGGATCAGACCAAAAACCCACATTCAAACCGATTCAAGAAAGTAAAACATACCTCTCATGATCCCTATATGATTAGATCTCCCATCTTAGTATCTCAACTCCTTCCTTCAAATCAAATCATCATGAACCCTTCCGACAACCACCTAAAATCCTACACCTAATCCTCAATTAGCATCCCAAAACTCAACCACATTGAAAACCTTAGATTTCATTTCGTTCAACCCCACTTTTTCCCATCGACTATAATCCATATCCATCATCCCATCTTTAATCTCTTCAATGAGTTTTAACCTACTATCTACGATTTGTTTAGTAAAACTACTTTTCTTAGAACATTGGTTTGGTAAACCGGTTAAAAAGAAATTCGATTTAATTCCAATCAGTTTTTCAATAATCCCAATCAAACCTGTATCCAATTGATTTAAATGACCAGATCTTTTTCATTCACTTTTGAATCTTTGTTGCTTGGGATTAGTTTATTCAATTTGATTAATTCCATCACGTTTGGTAATTTGATTAATTTCTTAATCATTTCTTCGTTCAAATCGATTTGTTTAATAAGTTGATCAAAACTAAAAAACTTTAAATCGGATTGAATTTGATGGATTTCAGAAAAGAGGGTTTTCATCAACACATGATGATCTTGAGTAATCAATTTTGAAAATGTACTACTATGAGCTATGACAGTTTGTTTTGGATTTAAAACTTCTTCTATGGGATAATCAGTTGAAAGATAAATTGAAGTTAAACTTGGAAATGATTTTTGGATTTTCAAAAGTCTTGGAATCAATGAGCTTGAACATTTCTTTAATCTTTCAATCGATAAAGTTTCTTGTCTCCAATGTATCGATATATAACTAGGTAATCTTTGAATCATCAAACTGGCTACCTCACTCCAAATTCGTGCATATTGAAAATGTTGAAAATTCCCAAGTAAACTTTCTTTCGGTCTCTTTGAATTGATAGTACGAATTGAATAAATCGGATGTCTTAGATCATAATTCATAACTAAGACATTAGGATTGATCAAAGGATCTTTAAAATCAAGTGTTTTTAAAATCGTATCACCAAATTCTTCTCTAAATTCACTGACTCGATTCCATCTCTCTGGACTGATAATCGTAATTGGAAAGTTTGAAGTGAAATTCAATCCAGATTTCCCTTTATTCAAACAACATTTCGATCAGGTTTACTTGGAAAGATATGTCTCAATGGAATCCGATTCGATTTTCACTAATGTATGATCAGAATGATGGATTTTAGAATCTGAGATAGAAACCAATTGAGCCGAAGGATTTGGAAATCGATTGAAAGTCCAATCAATAAATTCATGATAACTAATCGTATGAATACCTAATCGATTTAAACTTTCAGTTTGATAATAAAGATCAAATGGATAACTCAAACAAGTTCCCATTCTACTCTTACTAACGTTGGGTAAGACTAACGTTCGATTTAATTGGATGGCAAGTAAACCTAATTGATGTAAATGAACTTGAGCTTTTGTTTCTTGTTCTCCAATGAAACCAGGTAAGAGAAATGAACAAGATAATCCTAATGAAGTTTGATTTGGACAAATCGATCGATCTAATTCTTCTGCTGGAATACTTGAATGATGAGTATTTGATGAATGTGTTGCAGGAGATGGTTTGGTCGGAAGTGAAGTGACCATTGGCATCTTTTGATTGGATGGATCGATTGTGCTTTGAGAATCTTGATGAACTCCATCTTCTTCATCAAAACTATTTTGAAGTTGATCAAGTTTTTCCAAAACTTCTCTTGTGATTGGTAATAAACCATCGGGTTGAGTGCTTGTGCTTGAGGTTGATAAGAATGATACTTTGGTTAACTTTAATAATTCATTTTTAGTTTGTTTTGAATAAAGTATTAAACTAATCAAACTGATCGAAGTGATAAATAATAATAAGTTAAGAATTATAAATTTCTTTTGAGTTCTTCTGATCGATCTTAGGAATAATTTGATTCTAATCAAGAAATCGTTCTTGAAGTTGATTGTTTGATTTTGATTTTCTTCTAATCTGATTTGATGTTGTTCGTTGTATCCTTCATAGTTCATTTTCTTTCTTTCTTGCTTGATTTTGTTTTGTTATGTTTGTTTCAGTGTTTGTTGTTATTTATGCTACATCCTCTTCTGGTCTCCTGGTCGCGTGAATTTCTGTTTGAACTGTTTGCTTAAAATTTGACTAAATTGTACCTTTAAGACTTAAGAAGTTTTAAGGCAAAGATTGAAGAAATTTACCAAGTCTCACTGAACTGAGCAAGAAAAGAGTATGATTAAAGCAAGTTCGTGAGCAGTGGTTCAAAATCTCGAGTAAATGAGGAAAAGTTTCAAACCTCATGGAACTGAGTGTGTATTGAGGTGTTATCTTTCAAAGTTCTATTGATTTGACAAGATGGAAGAGGATTTGTTTCTAGAACCTCAGTACGAGATTCCTTAAACATACACAAAGTTCTATCTTGTGCTTCATCATATCCAACCTGTGATTTAAGAGCAGTTTGAGCTCGTGTTCTGGTTTCTGGTTCCCTTCTCACAGTTGACACAAATCATAATATAACAAGAAAACAAAATATACATATATCATTTCATTCAAACAAAGTAATAATCAATCCTAAAAAGAAAACAAAATACCAAGAAAAATTCAAGACCATTCACACTTCATCATTTTATCATTTCAATCATTAAAAAAATCCATCATTATCGTGTTTTCAAGAAGACACTAAATCCAATCATTCATTATATTAAAACCCATCAATCACATTCATCACACGGATCTAAATTCTTGGAAACTAAAAAAAAGAAAGAATAAACTATTAGAAAAAGTTTTTCAATCAAAAAACCCAACTTTTAAACCACATCATACTTAATGAAACAAAAAACAAAAGTATCAAACACTCAACTCTTCTCTGCTAAACTAACAGCAGCAGAAGTGATTTTATTTTTAAATCGATTTCCAAGCCCACCTCTACCTTCTGAATTACCTTCGTTCATTTCACCATGTGAATGATCAGTATGACTATTACCTTCAGTAGATCTCATTTCTTTTGGAGTTTGAGTTGTAGTAGCTAAAGGTGGAACTTGAGCTGCGTTCATATGATCAAGTTGAGAGTATTTGTTCATTTAGTGAGGTGTAAGAATGGCTCGGCACGGAGTGAGATGATCACTTACTTGACTGCGCTTCTGCTACTCCTGCTTCTTCACGTGTTATCTCTCCTGATAACCTTTGAAGTTCGCTTTCGATATCAAACTCTGAGTTTGATGAATCCAACAAGCAAGAGATCAGAAAACAATTCTCGAATCACTCCAATGTTATGAATCTCAAGAGCTTACCCTCTTCAATTCCGATATCGCCAATCATAGGACTACCAGATTGTGAAACTCGACTACCATGTTTTTGAACTGAAAAGAAACACACCAATCGATTCAGCATCTGCACTTTATCTAAACATAATCTAAATCAAAAACACTTACGAATCTCTCTGACAGATGAACCTATTCGGGTACTCAATCTGTTCTTAATCTTAGGATTGCAGTTGGGATCGGTAGCCATAGGCTCCGTGATCGTATCCGATGCTTCGATGATATCGAAATCATCGACTTTTTGAATCGAAGTTCTCGGGCGGGCTATAGGTCCAGAAGGATGTTGTCTAGAAGGCGAAGCTGATGGCAGTTCAACCTTCCGTGCGAGTCCAGTCCTAGAAGGTGTTCTTTCGGGTGTGTGTGATAATCGGGGTCTTGGCTTGAGAATCTCAAATGTACGATTCGGGCTTTTGACACTAGCACTACGCTTGATGTCAGTATTGGTCTGAAAGGGTTGCCCACGACTCGTTCTTGTAACATCGACTGATCTTCTACCACTTGAGATCAGATTACGTGTGCTTGAGGTAAATGTATTGCCTTTGCCCTTCATACTACCCTCTTCGACTGTCACAAGTGATTTTCGTCCAGGATACTTTGAGCCTACTGTACCAGCTTGATGCTTGCGTAATGAGCCAGCTCGAGCAACGTTCTCATGTGTGATTTTTTTGCCCGATGGTTCCCCTTTACACTTAGATGAGAAGATGCTTTGACGTTTCGGAGTGACAACTACCACTGCTTTCTCTTCAGAAGGACTCTTTTGGGTCGGTTTCTTTTCTTCAGAATCTTCAATCGTCTTCTTCTGTTCGGGAGAATTGATGACGCATAATGAAGAGATCGGTGGACGAATCGAAACCGTTGAGATTGCGCTGAGCTTCTTCATTCGGGGCGGTAAGATCACTTCACGGCGAATGTTTCTGACAACTGGAGCGGTAGGACGTAACCTTGCGATGGCAGCTGGGTCCACATGTGGTCTAGGAACTGAGACCATCGATGGGGCAGGCGTGCGTAGGAATGATGTGGTCGATGCATGAAATAAGGTAGGGGGAGATGTCAATCCAAGAGTTTCGGTGGGGAAATTCACATTTGATTGTGATAAAAGTTGTTCAGCTTCGGTTCCTTCTGTCTCTGGTGTTTCTGTAACTTGGTTGTCCGAGGTGGCTTCGGCCTGAGTCGATAATTGAATCTGTTCTTCAGGAGACTTCAAAGCTTCATCAGCGCCGAGGTCAGGCGAATCCTCAGACTCAACGACCACCGTAGGGGGCGTCGAATCATCCGTGGGCGAAAGGTCCTTAGTTTCAGCTGGGACTTCTGAAGTTGAAGAGTTTTTCAAGTCAAGAGCGCTCTCAGGTAGTTCCTTAGAGCTCTCGAGCGTACTCTCAGTGTGAGTTGAGGGTTCGATGGCTTCATCTTGAGTGTCCAACTTCGGGTCGGTAGTAATGTCAGGCGAGACATGAGATTCGACGACCACTTCATCGGGAGTCGGATCATCTGCGGTCGAAAGGTCCTTCGTTTCAGATAAAACTTCTGGAGGCGAAGGGCTTTCTGAGTCAACGACTGTAGAGCTCTCAAGTATATCTTCAGTCTGGATTGACGTTGGGATAACTTCGTCTTGAGAACCTGCCGGTTGTTCAGGATCAACTTCAGGCGCGACCTCAGATTGTACGGCCACCGCAGGGGGAGCCGATGCATCGATGGTCGAAAGGTCCTTCGTTTCCGATGAAACGTCTAGAGGTGGGGGGTTTGCTAAGATAACAACGTCAGGGCTGTCGAGTGTATCTTCAGGCTTGGTTGACACTTGGATGGCTTCGTCTTGAGAGTCTGCCTTAAGATCATTAGTAAGCTCAGGCGAGACCTCAGATTCGACGGCCACCGCAGGGGGACTCGGATCATCTGTGGGCGAAAGCTCCTTCGTTTCAGACGCGAGCTCTACAGGTGAAGGATTGGATGTGTCAACAAAGCTATTGTGTATACATTTGGAGCTCGCAAGCGTACCTTCAGTTTGTGTTGAGATTCCAGCGGGTTCTTCAGTAGACTTCAATTCTTCGGGTCGCGCACTGAGATCAGGTGAGACATCAGCTTCAGCGACGACCGTGGGTGTCGAGTCTTCCGCTGGTGAGATATCTTTCGTTTCAGGTAAGACTTCTGGAGGTGAAGACTTGTCTACTAAATCAACAACATTCAAGGAAGTATCGTTGGAGGACTCGAGGGCAGCTTCCGGCTGAGTCGATATTTCGACGGTTCCGTCGGTAGGCGTGATTTCTTCGGGTTGGGGACTGAGGTCAGGCGAGACCTGAGATTCAACAGTGACTGTAGGAGAAGTTGAATCCTCAGGAGTTGGAAGATCCTTGGTCTCAGATGAGGCTTCTGGGGACGAAGGGTTAGATATGTGAATGACACTCTTGGATATATCTTTAAAACTCTCAAGCGTACCTGCAGTCTGATTTAAGAATTCAACGGTTGCTTCTTCAGTAGACTTCAACTCTTCGGGTTGAGAACTGGGATTGGGTGTGATATGAGATTCGACGACCAGTTCATCGGGAGTCGGATCATCTGCAGTCGAAAGGTCCTTGGTTTCAGATGATACTTCTGGGGGTGAAGGGTTTTCTAAGTCAACCAGGTTAGAGTTCTCGTTTGTATCTTCAGTCTGAGTGTATGTTTGAATGGCTTCATCTTGAGAGTCCGCCTGTTGTTCAGCATTAACTTCAGGCGCGACCTCAGATTCTACGGCCACCGCAGGGGGAGCCGAATCATCAATAGTCGAAAGGTCCTTCGTTTCAGATACGACTTCTGGCGATGGAGAGTTCCCAGATAGGTCAACGACGCTCTCGGATGTATTCTCCGAGCTCTCGAGCGTACCTGCAGTCTGCGTTGACAACACAATGGCTTCTTCTTCAATAGACTTCGATTCTTCGGGTTGAGGAGTGAGGTCAGGCGAGACAACAATGTCAGCGAGCATTGTAGGCAAAGTCGGTTCTTCGGAGGGCGACAGATCCTTTGTGTCAGATGAGGCTTCTGGAGGTGAAGGGTTGTTAAGAACGCTCTTGGTGATATCGTCAGAGCTCTCGAGGGTAGCTTCCGTGTGCGTTGACAATTCAACCCTCTCGTCCGTAGATTTCAGCTCGTCAGGTTGAGGACCAAGGTGAGGCGAGACATCAGCTTCAGCGAGACCTGTAGGTAAGTTCGGTTCTTCAGAGGGCGAGAGATCTTTCGGTTTAGATGAGACTTCTGAAGGTGAAGGGTGGTCTAGGTCAATAACATTCTTAGAAATATCGTCAGAGCTCTCGAGCACAGCCTCTGTCTGAGTTGAGAATACAGTGGCTTCATCTTGGGACTCAGACGCCTTGACCACAGGATTGATGTCAGGCGGGACCACCGATTCGATAGCCACGGTAGTGAAAGTCGAATCTTCCGCAAGAGAAAGATCCTTAGTTTCGGATGAAACTTCTGGATCGGGTTGAGGACTGAGGTCAGGCGAGACCTGAGATTCAACAGTGACTGTAGGAGAAGTTGAATCCGCAGGAGTTGGAAGATCCTTGGTCTCAGATGAGACTTCTGGGGACGAAGGGTTAGATATATCAATGACACTCTTGGATTTATCTTTGAAACTCTCAAGCGTACCTGCAGTCTGAGTTGACAATTCGACGGTTTCTTCTTCAGTAGACTTCAACTCTTCGGGTTGAGGACAGGGATCGGGTGCGCCATCAGCTTCGACGGTTGTCGTAGATATAGTCGGTCCTTCCGAGGACGAAAGGTCCTTGCTTTCAGATGATACTTCTAGGGGTGAAGGGTCTTTCAGGTCAACGAAGTTAGAGTTCTCGAGTGTATCTTCATCCTGAGTTGATGCTTGAGTGGCTTCATCTTGAGAGTCCGCCTGTTGTTCAGCATTAACTTCAGGCGCGACCTCAGATTCTACGGCCACCGCAGGGGGAGCCGAATCATCAATAGTCGAAAGGTCCTTGGTTTCAGATACGACTTCTGGCGACGAGGAGTTCCCAGATAGGTCAACGACGCTCTCGGGTGTATTCTTCGAGTTCTCGAGCGTACCTGTAGTCTGAGTTGACAATACGATGGCTTCTTCTTCAATAGTCTTCGATTCTTCGGGTTGAGGACTGAGGTCAGGCGAGACAACGATGTCAGCGAGCATCGTAGGCAAAGTCGGTTCTCCCGAGGGCGACAGATCCTTCGTGTCAGATGTGGCTTCTGGAGGTGTAGGGTTGTTAACAACGCTCTTGGTAATATCGTCAGAGCTCTCGAGGGTAACTTCCGTGTGCGTTGACAATTCAATACTCTCGTCCGTAGATTTCAGCTCGTCAGGTTGAGGAACAAGGTGAGACGAGACATCAGCTTCAGCGAGACCTGTAGGTAAGTTCGGTTCTTCGGAGGGCGAGAGATCTTTCGGTCCAAATGAGACTTCTGAAGGTGAAGGGTGGTCTAGGTCAATAACACTCTTAGAAATATCGTCAGAGCTCTCGAGCGCATCCTCTGTCTGAGTTGACAATACAGTGGCTTCATCTTGAGACTCAGACGCCTTGACCTCGGGATTGATGTCAGGCGAAACCTCAGATTCAATAGCCAAGGTAGTCAAAGTCGAATCTTCCACAAGAGAAAGATCCTTAGTTTCGGATGAAACTTCTGGAGATAGGGGATCGGATATGTCAAGAATGCTCTTGGAAGTATTTCTAGAGTTCGAGAGCGTACCTTCGGTCTGAGTTGACAGTACGGGAGTATCATCTTGAGACTCTGACGCCTTGAGCTCAGGATTAGCGTCAGGCGAGACGTCAGATTCAACGGCCACCATAGTGGGAGTCGATTCTTCCGGGAGTGAAAGTTCCTTAGCTACAGATAAGACTTTTGAAGATGGAGGATGAGATATGTCAGCAATGCTCCTGGATGCAATTCTAGAGCTTGTGAGCCTACCTTCACTCCGAGTCGAGAGCTCAGTGGTTTCTTCAGTAGACTTCAACTCCTCGGGTTGAGGACTGGGATCGGGCAAAAGATCAGCTTCAATGGTAGTCGTGGGTAAAGTCGATTCATCCAGGGTCGAAGGATTTTCAGATGAGACTTCCGGTGGTGGTGGTGAGTTATCTATCTCAGCGACATTCTCGGAGATAACGTTGACACTCTCCAGCGTTTCTTCGGTCTGATTTGACAACTGGATCGTATCGTCAGCAGACTTTGACTCTTCGGGCTGAGGAGCAAGGTCAGGACCGACATCAGCTTCAACGGCCACCGTGGGCAAGGTTGAGTCTTCGGGGGATGAGAGATCGTTGGTTTCAGAGGAAACGTCCGGGTGTATCTCGGAGAAGGTCTCCGAGATAGCGTGGGAGCTCTCGACCATGACTTCAGAGATAATCTGTTTCGAATTTTGAGTGGCTCCTTCGATTGCGACGGCCAACATAGGGGAAGTTAAGTCTTCAGTGGGCGAAAGCTCCCTAGTATCAGATGAGACTTCTGAAGAAGCGGTGGCAATGTCAGCAGCGCTCTGGGAAAAATCATTAGAGCTCTCAAGCGTACCTTCAGCCTGAGTGGACAAATGTATGGGTTCATCTTGAGGCTCCAACGCCTTATGCTCAGTGTTGATTTCGGGCGATGTTCCAGATTCAATAGCCACCGTTGGTATAGTCGAGTCTTCCAGGGGAAGAGATCTTT